AAGAGGGACCAGTTCTTGGAGAGGGATATGGTGTTTGGGAGAGTAGAAAGACAGTGGAGGAGAGGAAAACCATTGATGAGATGGATTGATTCAGTGACTGGGATAATGTGGGTAGGGGACAGTGAGATTGGCACAGGATAGAGCAGGGTTTAGGGCTCTTATACTGGGGTCATTGTGAGTTGCAGGTGACTTGATGGACATAACAACTTTGTGTTTTCTCCAGTATTTCTAATTTCCACACTAAACCTATACAGTTTTTATTGGGAATAAAAGGAAAATAAATAAGCTGCTATTAAGTGAGGAAGCATTACTTCTTCTCTTTTGTATTTCTTATGCATCTTGGACACAATGTCAGAGTTATGTTAGCGTCACAAATGAAATGGGAAAATTTATCCTTTTAAAATCTTTTAGAAAACCTTATATTTTATTTTTTTTAAACCTTACTTTTTTTAAGAAATGGGTATAATTTTAAGGCATTAGAAATTCCAAAGACTAACCAGACTAATGCCTTAAAATTAAGCCCATTTCTTAAAAAAACAATATGGACAATCTCCTATGCTATCTATATACAGCCCTGGCACCTGAGTATATTCTGACTTGGCGGCAATGATCAAACTACTTGCCAAAGAATAAGATGAAAAGAGAGGGTGTGGATTGTGGCTGGAAGTTTATAGAAGGAGCCCTTTAACTAGATTTCCTACTCTCTGAGAAATCTTTAGTAAATTGTAAAGTGGGTGTGGGCTTGTTTCAGTAACAGGAAGTGACAGTGACAAGTTACAGCCACCGCCCAACACTGTGCAAAAAATGTCCCAGCGATAAAGCTAACATGCATCCCCGCCCCATCAATCTTTTCCCTAGAAGACAATCTTTACTTTAAAATATAGATCTAATTGTGCTTTTATCTGCTTTAATGGTGTCTCATTGCAGCAAGGACAAAGTCTAAAACCTTTAATGTGTCCTCAAGGACACATTTTGCAATCATCATTGCCTTATCCTTCTAGCCACAGCTAGAATCCCTTTACCCCTGACTCTTGGCTGTGCTTTAACAACCTTAAAATTCTTTATGACAGACATTGAGGTTGAGGGAAGACAGAGAAAGAGAGGAGGAATGATGTATACTGCATTGAAACAGATGAAGGGGAGAACTGTTTAAAAGAAATATGTTGTTGTTGTTGTTAAGTGCCGTCGAGTCGCAGGCAACTCATAGCGACCCTAAGAAGGAGAATCCTTGACGCTTGGGTGCCTTTCTTTCTCTCTCCAAGTTCATAGGGTTTCTGGAGGCAAGGTATTATGGAAGCGGATATATGAAGAGATATATGATAGGATATGATTGTCATGACAGGAGTCCAGAATGAAAACTGCATGGTGGAGTGGACTTGGGGGGAGGGAGTGCATAACAATGAAAGAGTTTTTCTTTTACTTTTCAAGGAGAAGAGTGAATTGGAGGTGGGAGGGGGAAGAGAGAAAAGTGCAACAATGAACAACTGGAAACCCTAAGTCTCTGTAAACTTTCATTAAAATGAATAGAAAAAGAAAAAAATTCTAGAGCCAGCACCTTCCCATACTCACGCAAAACCTTTACATTTGGCAGAAAGTAGTTATTTTTTCTCAGGGAAACCTTTCCAATTTATCAATCCAGATCAGATTCCTTATTATATGACCAGAATATTTTTCTTTCAGAGCACTTGCCACCATTTAAAGTGAAAGAACTTGTGTGAGCATTTGATTTGTGTTTGTATTTCCTGATCGGCTATCAGCTCAATGGTGTGTGAAGCTCCTGCTCCTTTGAGTTCAGTATGACTCTTAATGACCCTGTGACCATCAGAAATGACCCTTGTTCTAGCCTGTGGCATCTTTATTATCTCTGATATACTGGAATCCATTGCTATAGTCACTGTGTCAATGCATTTTTTTTTTAATTTTATTTTTTTAGAATCTTCATCTTTTTCTCTGATCCTACACCCTTCCACGCATGATGTCCCTTTCCGAGGACTGGCCCATCCTAAGAACGTGCCCATCCTTGCTTCCAAGGCCCAGTTTGTCTGTACCATCTTCAAGACCTTTCTGTTTGAGCACCGGCCGTCGCCAAGCGCCAAGAGCTCCTGGAGGCTGGTTACCGCAGCGCTTAGTGAAGGGCGGAGCTCAGGCCCGAGACCAGGACGAGGAGGAGGCGGCCGGACCCACCCAGAAGCCCGGCAAGACCGCTCCTGGTCGGAGAAGGCCCCCACTCCGAGGCCACGAGAGCAAAGCGAGGAGGAGGACAAGTGCGGGAAGGAGCCCAGCTCGGCAAAGCTGTTGGGCACAAGCTGACCAAGATCAGATGCAGCATCTGCCCCGCATCCACCACTCGCGTTCACACTGCTCTATCTAAACCTAAACCCTGCTCTATCTCTTGCCAATCTTACTGTCTCTGACAAACCTATCCCCATTACCCCAGTGACAGAATCAATCCATCTCATTGAAGGTCTTCCTCTCCTGTGCCATCCCTCCACCCTCTCAAGCATGATAACCCTCTCCAAGGACTGGTCCTTCCTTGCAACATGTCCAAAGTATGTCAGAAGACGCTTCAGAATCCTTGCCTCCAAGGAGCAGCCTGGCTTCACCCTCTCCAGGATGAACTTGTTTGTTTTCCTAGCAGTCCATGATATATTCAATACTCTTCTCAGCACCAAAACTCAAAGACATCAACTGTCCTTCTATCATCCCTAGTCATTGTCCAGCTCTCTGAAGCATAGCAAGTAATGGCAAAGACCATGGCCTATATCAGGCACACCTTCGTCTCCAGGCTGAAATAATTGCTCCTCAGTACCTTGGCCAGGTCTCTGACAGCAGACTTTCCCAATGCA